ATCAGTTCCATTTCCTTTTCTTTCTACTTTTCTCTCCCCCATTGCAACTTCTGCCACCTGGACTATTATTTTTGCTTCTTGCATGCTTGTTTCTAGACTCTTCCATTGCATACTTAATTATCAGATAAATCTGAAAGCAGCCTTTTGTTCCAGTCTGATGAGCAGCATCTTTTTTGTTGCCATTGTTTGGTTCTCTGTATTAAAATTCAGACTGAAGGCTCTGTGAGTACTCACAGCCTTGCTCAGGCTGTTCTCTGGGTGAGGAGCTGACTCCCTCTCCTCATATACACCACTGATGTGGGCAAGGGTGATACTCATTTCACTCCAGGTTCTTGTCATGAACAAAGACACACATTGTAAGTGCTGACACAAATAAGATGCACAAAATATAAAATTGATTTAAAAGGTGAGTAAGTGGGTGCGTATGCACACACACACACACACACACACATGCTAGCCTGGATTGCCCATACAGAGAAACACCTGTCATGAGTGGGCCAGAACGTTGCCTGAAAGGAGGATGGGAGGGGGAGAGGGTGGGAGAGAGCACCTGTGCAATACTTCCAGCCATGCTCTGCCGTGGAAGAAAGGGAGCAAGAGCTCCTTCCAGTTGTTGGTCTTTTTTATGAGGTTGCAGGTGGTGCATTTAGGAGGGAATCCACCTGGGAATTATGTAGCACCTCCCCAAGTTCTACTTGGAGCTCAATATACATATTTCCATGATGTCTCCTTTTAGGTCCCGATGAAGCAGATGTGTCCTGGCAAAGGGGGTGTTTTGTTTGACAAGTAGGAGGATGGAATGACATGGGGCCTGGTGGTGAGGAGAGGGGAGTTGGGAGTAAGCATAGGGAGTAGGTGTATGGGCTGGTGGGAGGAGTGGTTTGCATGTACTTGCAGCTCAGCTAACCTATCAGGTGTTTACATTTCCCAGATCCCCACAGGATTTTGTCTTGGGACCCTCACTCTGTCCTGCATTGCCTTACTCTCGTCCCTTCTCTCCTGTCACCAGGGCAGTAGTCCTCACATTTTGGAAAGTACCCCACATATACACAAAAATTCATTGCATTCATCAGGTAGTTTTTCATTAAACATATATTGCATACGTATTTTGTCGGGCATTGTGCTGGTGTTGAAGGATTCTAAGGAGAACTAAGATGAAAGTGTCTGCCTCAGGGGCTGATAGCCCCATGAGGAAGATGAAGAATCAAAAGTGTGACAGTCACATAAACAGGACTCTGACATTTGTGTTAAGAGCTGTGACAGACAAGAACACATTGCCATGAGCAAGATGGTTGGCTAAAATGCTTCTCCTGGACGGCAGCACTTAATTTCTGAAGAGTGACAAAGTGAGGAAGTGAGTTTTAAGGAAGGTGACATTTCATCTGAGAATTTGGAGAATAAAATAGAACCGGATAAAGGAAGTGTGGTGTGGTGAGGGTAGGGAGCTGTAAGTGGAGGGGAGAGCATTTTGGAGGCCCGAGGCTCTAAGTGGCTTGGGAATATCAGAAGAAAAGCAACACTGGACACAGGTCCCTGTGGCTGCTGCCTGTGAAAATTGTGAGAGTGGTGATGCTTGGGGGCCTTGGAGGCCGTGGCAGTGAGTCTGCTTTCAAGTGCAATGGGAAGCAGTCGAAGTGTTGTGAGCACACAATGGCATGATCTTGTTTGAGGCTGCCGTTTTCATCTGTTCATCAGTCCATTTGGGTCTTCTCCCTGAACACCCAGCCTGATTACATTTCCTGGACTTCTTTGCAGTCAGTTGTGAGCCACATAAGAACTGTATTCATCCCATAGAAGTAAGTGAAGTGGTGAACACCCCATCAGGGCTACTTCATAAAAATGTGGGCTTCTTCACGCTGCTTCCATTTCTGCCTGGGTAAATACAAGGGCTTTTACTGCAAAGGCAGAGCCACTTTGTGCCTGGATCCCTGCAGAGCTCTGTAGAGCAGAACCACTTCCCGATTGACCTAGAACTGTCAGGAATCTTGATGTGAGCAAAAAAGAAGCTCCTGTTATGTTGAATCTTTATGTGCTTGGTCCATTTATTACCTAGTTTGTCCAAGTTACTATGGTCGTTTGATAGGGCAGTTTTGGCTACTGTGCTATGTGAAGGTGTGACAGTCTGAATGACAGACATGGATCAAGTGAAGGTTTATTTCATTGTGGATTGGGGACATTTCAGATGCGGTGAGATGATTTTGGAGGCAAAATCATCAGCCCCCACTGATAGTTTACTATGCCTAGTGAGATTGAAAAAATAAATCTGACTGTATTTGACTCACAGAGGTCACATTGCTGCCTGGACTCCTGTAGCATACCTCACTGAACACTTTAGCCTTGTGTTTTGTTTATTTGAATTTAGTTGATTGGAGGTCAAATCTCAGATATCTGAGAATTTTTTCTTTCCTGTGCCATTGAGTACAGTGCTTTGTATAAGGTACTTCCTCCCACCCCTATTGGAGTTGAACTTGGCTTTGGTTAATGAATAAAAGGGTAGACTCCCAGGTTTCCTTTGTGTCCTGTGGAGTTATTAGATGTCACTGGACACAGTTCTTTCTTGCCAGAAATTTAGATTTTGCTTTGCTTTGTAAGGAGCTTTTTGTTTGGTTCGTTTTGTTTTCCCTGTGGCCTAGTGAGGAAAGCAACATCATGGGACCTGAGATTTGAATGCTGGCCTAGAAGGCCTGTGGGCTGTTCACTGCCTTTGACTTCACATTCCAGTGACCTGGAATCTGTTTCTCAGAGCTGCAAACTTCTTTGGTGACACTACTTCCACCCAGTGCCAGGCACCCATCTGGGGGAATCAGTGTAATCTCTGTCTCAAGATAGGGAGTTTCTGTGATCCCAGATGAGTGATGAGATGTGTGACTAAGGAAGTGTGAGTAGCAAGTGTGAGGAAGGGTGGGAGAAGAATGCAAGTTCCAGAGCAGGGCCACTGAATGGCTTTGGGGAGGAAGATGGACACTGAAGCTCCCATGCTAATGAACTTCAACTTGTAAAATAAAGTCTGTCACATATCTGTGTTGTAAGGTGAAGCTGGCGAATGCTTCCTGCTCAAAATGGATGCTGTCAGTGAAGGGACTGCTTGTTATAGCCTCGGACGTGGAGCTGTTTGATGAATTTATTTTCTGTTTACTGTGTTTGTGAACAGTTCAGATGTGTTTTATGGATATTATTAATCCACCTCTACCTAAGAAAGGCAAAAGCAGTGTGTTGAAATTATTTGAAGAAAGAGAAATAAGAACAAAACCATAATGTTGAAGAGATTAACGTGAAAATTGAAAAGCATGGGGAGAATTTTCTGTGTGTAGAATGTGAATCCATTAAGGAAGAATTAAAGATACCCCTGCAAAAAAAAAAAAGTGATTTTTGCAGTACAGGAGTAGGTAAGAAATAGTAAAATCAGAAAAAAACTACCTCAAATAGGAGTAGTCTTCAAAAAGTTAATACAAAATGTGCATTGTGAAAAACTGAAATTTCAAAGTTTTTTTTAATTTCATTTTTAATGAAACTTTATTCCATTTTTAATGAGATTTTTGAAACCCCCCCTGGTTTTAGCACATGTGTCTAGAGATAACATTACTATTGAGTATCTATTAGCTTAATGTTCTTTTAAGTAAAGACTATAAATTTATTCTAGAGGGCAAGAACCAGGTATGGAGAAAAAGCCATGGTGATGTTTTCTTGAAATTTCTGGCTCCACAGGTTCAAGGGCTATTTTGTATGTGTACAGCATCAAGGTGGGTGTAGAAGTGGCCCATGAAGATGCTTCTGAGAATCCCCTGTGAGGCTTACACAGGGGAAGCAGGTGTAGAGCTTGCCTGATGGTAGAGTTGAGATGGGAAGGACCATAAAGATTTGTTTATAATACAAAAGCTGTAGTCAGAGGCATATTTACTGTGTACTCTAACATCCATGTTACTTGATACCATAATGACAGAGATATTAGCCCCTGAGTTAGAAGGAGTGAGGAATCTTTCCCTGGCCTGTGTTTCATGACAGCCTAGATCTCAAGTGTGAAAATACAAACTAAGTTAAAGGTCTCGGGAAAAGTAGTAAGTCTGGTAAGTATTTTCAAAATAATTGCAGTTCCCAGACTTACACAGTGTTTCTTCAACTTTTTCCTCAAGTAAATGTGCTGATATTTAAGTGAATAACATATATTAATGCATGACCTTTAAAGTGGAAATATGAGCTGCTACTATTTGACTGTGATGTAGATTTGATAGTTAAGGAAGAGAACCTATTAGGCAAAGCATCATTTGTCTGCAGCTGTAGTACTGGATATAATCCTGGTATTTTCTGAATAATCCAAAGATGAAACAGAGTTAGAGAAAGACACTGGAGAGTTGGAAGGCATTGAAGGTGAGGATAGGTGTGAGAAGTGCTGCTCGAGCAATAAACAAACATAATCGTGATGTTCGATTAAGAAAGCAAATATGAATTGGTTTTTCATGTTAGAAATGTGTGATTCTACAGAAGCTTAAAGAGGCTACTTAAAGACAGAATCTTTGCTGGGTATAGTCTGGGACTCATCTTTTTCATGGCATAGTGGTATGGGAGGAAAGTTTAAATGGATTTAAAAAAAAAAAAAACTTCACATGCATTGGCAGCATCTTCACCCTGGGTTGATATGGGAAATTAGAAATGCATTTGCAGTTTACATATCACATATGATTTCATGGAGGGATAAAATAATGAGTAGAATATATTAATGTATTTCTTCTGCATTCCGATAAAATGGGTGCATTGTCTGATTTTCTTATTCTTCTTGTGAATTTTGTGTCCTCCCCTATGTGAAATTTTGCCATTCCTATCATATAGGAATTGGTACTCTTATGAATTACTAATGCATAGTAGCTTAACCATTTTGAGTTTGCAGTCAAATCTGGGGGAGAAAAAGCATTCCATCTCACAAATTACATACTTGCCATTTAAAAGACATAACTTGTGATCTGAAGGTGATGTTGTTAAGTTAACACATCTTATGTTTCCTCTAGGCTGGAATGATCAAAAGTGATAATGAAGAATATTTCATTGAACCCTTGGAAAGAGGTAAGCAGATGGAGGAAGAAAAAGGAAGGATTCATGTTGTCTACAAGAGATCAGCAGTAGAACGGGCTCCCATAGACAGGTCCACTGACTTCCACTACAGAGGTAGGCATCTTTGACAAGGTTTAATCATTAAACATGATTTTAAGATATGATGAAAACAGGCTTCCAGCAACTACCAGATGTGATTGTCATGTGCTCATATATTGTATGAAGGTAGAAAAAGTTTATAAATAATGAAATACGGCTCTCTTTTCTAGAGAATACATAAGTGTTGTTATTTATAGTGCATAGTATCACCATCATATTTTTTATTCTTTTAAAAGTTTTACATTAAAACTATCTTTTTTCTAGCTTATGTCAAAATCTGAAAATATTTTTGCTTTTCCAGAAACATCTACATTATGCATTATTTATGTTAGTTTTAAACTTTTTAAATAAGATACGTTGGCATGGCAGAGTTGTGTTTTAAGAACAATGTGATGGGTACATTTGAAAATAACTACGCTACTTTAATATCTATTTTGTAATGCTTTTTATTATGTGGAGGAGACATAAGTCAAATTCTTCTGCAGAATTTTATTTCACAATAAACTGGAACCACTAAAGACAAATTCTACACATGAACTTTTTTTCAAATGCAATCTGAAAGTAAGTTGATATTAAGGAGATATTTTTATATCTTAGATACACAAATTTCAAGAAAGGATATTTGTGTGTACATATATGTGTATGTGTGTTTGTGTGTCTGTGTGTCTGTGTTATCAAATCTTAAAAAAAATAATGCTTTTGCTAGGGCAATTTTTAAATTATAGATAATAAAAAAAATGTTTCCCTAAAGGAAATCTCAAGGGTAGAAATTACCTTCATTTAACAATTATTTATCTTCTAGATTGCCATTCTGAGAGTTGCTACAAGTTATTAGTTTGATTTTCAGATCCTGCCAGCTTCCCTCAATATGCTGTGCCGGGGCAGGATTTGTGGGACAGCAGGATAAGCTACGGATTGGAACACCTGCATCCCATATCAGAGTGCTTGGTTCAAATCCCAGCTACTCCATGCTTCCCATTCTGCTTCCTGCTAATAGAGGAAATTGGGAAGCAGTGTATGATGGCCCAAGTACTTGGGTTTCTGCCACTCACAATGGAGACCCAGACGGGGTTCCTTGCTCCTGGCTTCTGCCTGGCCTGACTCCAACTATTGTGGGAATTTGGGAAATTAACAAGCTGATAGAGGATTCTCTCTCCCCCATTTCTGTCATTCTGTCTTTCAAATTAATTAATTAATTAATCTGTTAAAAAAATAGGCTATGGGGTCAATGTTAGGATGTAGGTGGTAAAGCCGCTGCCTGAGATGCTGGCATCCCATACAGACACTGGTTTGTGTCCTGGCTGCTCCACTTCCAGTCCATCTCCATGCTGATGGCCTGAGAAAAACAGTGGAAGATGGCACAAGTGTTTGACTCCCTGCTATCCATATGGGAGATCTGGATGAAGTTCCTGGCTCCTGGCTTGGGCCTGGACCAATGCTGGCCTTTGTGGCCATCTGGGAAGTGAGGCAATAGATGGAAGATTCTCATTCTCTCTCTCTCTCTTTCCCTCCCTCCTTCCCTCCCTCCCTCCTTTCCTCTCTCCTTCCCTCCTTCCCCTTCTCCCTACCCACTCTGTCAGCGTCTCTCCCTCTCTCTCTGTAACTCTTTCAAATAAATAAGTAAATAAAATATATTCTGTGCTAATGGAATAGTACAATTTAAAATTAGCACAGAAATTCTTGAGAGATTTCTTATTTGAAACCAAGATGACTGTGTTAATGAATACATTATTATGGATATGGATATTGTGGCACTGTAGGTTAAGCAGCTGGTTGGGGCACCCACATCCCATATGGGAGTGCCAGTTTGAGTTCCAGCATTTCTGCTTCTGATATACCTTCCTGCTAATGCACCCTGAAGGGCAGAGTGTAGTGGCTCAAGTGCTTGGGCCCCTGCTACCCACTTGGGAGAGCCAGATGGAGTTCTGGATTCGTGGCTTCAGCCTCACTCAGCCCTGGATATTGCAACCTCATGGGGAAGTGAATCAGCAGATGCAAGATAAATCTATCTGTATGTCTGTCTCTCTCCTTGTCTCTCCTCTTCCTTTCTTTCTCTTTCCTTTCTTTCTCCCCCTCTCCTTTTCTCTGCCTTTCAAATAAAACATGTTTAAAATAAATTAGTATAAAATGTGTGCCTAACTCTAGGACTCTTGTGTAACAGAAATGAAATGAGCTTTACAGTTGAATTTGGTGTGAGTAATTGCTCTGCACTATTATGTTGTTATTGTAGGTTAATACTTAACTTTTTTGAGCCTCTATTTTTAATTTATGAATCAAAAATTTAAATATATAGCACAATTGATGAAAGTATTAGAAATCATACATGCAAATTGTTGAGTGTAGCCTTCAACCACCAAAAGTGTTTAATCATTGCTAGGTATTTTTATATTTTTCGTATTAAGTATTAATATTGAATATCTTGTGCAAAAGATTTGCATGCTAGGTGGTTTGTTAAATTGAAAGTTTGGACATTGTTCGCCTTCATGTTGTGAATATTTACTCTTAATTCTCACTTACGTTTTCTTGCTTTATTTAAAAGCATCTTTCTAAATAAAAAGAATGATTATGTCAAAGGACAAGTAGTGTTTTTTTCCAAGTTTTAGTTGTTGCATATTATTAATATCTGATATATCTCTCAAGGAACTGGTGAAGTATCTTGTAGAAAAGTCTAGCCCACATGCTATGGAATTGCGTTGGATAAGTGGAACCAGAACAGGAACTATAGCTATCCTCCCATTTGCTCCATCTGTTGTCACTAGGTACCCACCAAGCTGTGCCCTGTCATTCCATTTCAGTTCCTAAAGATGACTAATTCCATAAATATCAGTTTTGGCGCTTTTCATTCGTGTGATATTTATAGGAAGTTGAAAGAGGTTACTTTTTGTTTTTGCAATTAAGAAAATTATAAGAAATACTATGTTTAATACCTTTTGTATTTTTAGATGATGGAATAGAAAATATAATTTAATAGCCAAGGCATATAAATTTAAAATAATTGCATAGGATTAAGGAAATTTGGAACATTATTTTGGGAACTTGTGTAAAACCTCAGTTGCAATGGCATCAGTATACATACTCAGTTTACAGAAAGGTTTGTTTTTAAAAATGTGGACACTGAGGACTTTGTTTTCAATTATAAATAGAGGTTTCCCTTATTAGTCAGACGTGAACTGTAATAATACATTTTGGAAAGGTTTTCAGTGGTCATGGGTCAAAACAAAAGAATTCCTTGGTTTACTATAAATTATCTTAAAAATTGAATCAACAAAGAACCATTCAATTCTCTTAGAGTGTTCCAACATAAATCTTTATATGAAGTTAATTATTTTTGCTTTCTTCTTAGAAATTCTGATTGAGATCTTGAGTTGTCACCATGTATATTAGCAGTGTAACATCTTCCCTGTTGTAAAAAGAATCAGATTCAGAACTTTAAATTGTGACTCATGGTATCTTTTAAATTCTTCTTTTAAATTCCTGGCCACAGGACTGAGAGTCAAGCTTTTTCCATGGACTAACTACTTTTAAATATAAATTAAGAATATATTTTTATAATGTATTATATGACTCTAAAATGTGAAATTGAACAGGATTAAGATTCCTTATGAGGATTAAGAAGGCATATTGATTTACAAATGGAAACCAAAGTACCTTACATACTGCCTTTTCTGGGTAAAAGATGTTATTTTAGGAGACATAAAAAGTCATTTTTAATGTGTTATGAAAAGAGTAATGACATACGTAAGCTCAGCCTTACTTAGAAGTGCACTTGAGGATGGTCTTCATAAAGTTCTCTGAAAGCAAGTGATGTGAAGGAGTTTTGACCGTAAGCAAGCTATTCCTGCCACAACTGGGTTTCATTAGTAAGGACCCTCTAAATATTCTACCCTATCTTGCTAGTTTCCATAGTGATTGCTGGCTCCCCAGAATTGTGGTTTGTTACAAGTATTTGAAATTAAAACTAATGAAGACCTGGACGAGGTGACTAGCAGTAGGATAGGGTGATGAAGCTACACCAGACAGAGATTGAAGTGAAATTGATGGAGTTTCACAATGAAGCAAATATTGGAAGCCAATCGAGTAATCAAGGGATGACCCAGAATTCAAATCTGGAAGATGAGAGAATTCTCTTTGCCAGGTTTATAATGTTATGAGCAGAAATAGGCTTGATGGAGGATGACACGTGGATACTATTTTGGATATAACTTTTAAGATGCACTGGAACAGTGATTGAACTAAGAATTCTATATTTACCACAGATTCTTTCATTAGCTTTTAATTGAGAAATTGTATTATTTTTGAAATGCAGAAGCATATGAAGAGTTGTTATTAAACTAGCTATAAAATCAAAGATGCAGGCCTCTGCTTTAGAATTACTTTTTCAAGGGGTAAGAATTTGGGCTACTGGTTAAGATGTCTACATCCCACTAGAGCATGCATTCAAAATCCAGCTCCATTTCCGACTCCAGCTTCCTGCTATTGTGCACCCTGGAAGGCAGCAGTTGATGGGGCAAGTAGTTGGTCTTCTATTTCCCGCATGGGAGAACTAGATTGAATTTCTGGCTCCCAGCCCAGCTCCCCGGCTCACCCCCAGTGTTGGTCTTTGGAATGTGAACCAGCAGATGGGAGCTCTCTGTCTCTCTTGGGAGCTCTTTCTTTTTGTCTGTCTCTCTGTGTCTCTCAGATAAATAAATGTTTAGTTAAATTTTATAAAAGAATCACTGTTTCAGGAACAAGATCCAAAGCAGTATTACATTTGAGAATATAAATCATGATCAGTGCAGAACTGGGAGGAGTTCATAACACAGACCAGTGCCAGTTTCTTGCAAGGAAATACAGTCCTTTTCTTAAACAACAGACATAAACTTGGCGTGCTGATGGCCAGCAAAGTTGTCTACTTAATCATGGTGCTAGAGTCTAATTTGCTTCTTTTTTGTATTTCTGTTTCGGGGCATAGAAACTACCTTGAATTTTTGGCATCTTTAGTTTGAACAAAATTATTTCGTACTTGACTCTGT